CCACAGAAGGCATAAACATAACTGATTCTTGTTTCATCTTGTTCAAAAGGTTCCAGAAACCTGTTGGAACATCACATTTAGAATAACCTAATTCTTCCATTTTCCAGGGTTCAGCTTTTCATATCTGTCTGCTTTTTATGTTTCTCACTTCACTTTTGATACAAGGCAGGACATTCAGTTAACCTCTACCAAATATTGCTTTTTCATTTGGACATGAAGTGAGACTGCAGCAGTGTTGGACTGGGGGTTGCATTCTGTTTTTATTTTGTCTCTTTTTTTTGTTGATTTTAATTTAAATGGTGGGTAACTCTTTACAACAAGAGTCCCTTTATTAACGTTACTTAGTGCATTATTAAGCATTAAAGGCAAACTATGCAGTTTTTCATATTTTAAATCCTTTTCATGAGACAGTATGTACTAAAACAACTCTTTTCAGGGTTAATGAATTCTCACTCAGACCCCACCGATCTCTGTAGCCAGAATATCACACTTACAACTTCAGTGTGACGGGCCACTGTATAGCTGACATACCTGGTGCTGCAGTCTGCTTCCAGCACGTTCCCTGCATGTTTTAGATCATTAACACAGCTGATTTGTTTGATTTAGTGATGAATCACTCCTGTAGAAGGCTGGGGAGACATTTCAGCTGTTAGATTAAGGTGTTAAAAAGACAAACGCACAGTGAGGAGGTAGGTTCTGCATTCGGTTCTGCTAAAAGGACACTAGGAGGAACTAAAAGCAAGCCAAAACTGCTTAGTACCCCTTTAATAAACAAAGGATCCCCTTGTTCCCGATATTGTGTCCTTCAGGTTATGACAAAGGGTGGGTGGGTCTGCTTAATAATACATTATCTAATATTAACATTAATATTAAGCACTTGTTATTAGGCAAGGCAAGGCAGCTTTATTTATGGAGCACATTTCAAACACAGGGGCAATTCAATGTGCTTTACAAATAGCATGAAATGGCACAACAGCAAACATGATTTAGAGCTAAAAGGAAAAGGCAGAATTAAGGTTGAGCTATTACATCACAGATTAGAGTGGAGACGATGCAGCATAAGAAACAGTTCATTCAAAGGCTGATGTGTACATGAGGGTTTTAAGTTTTGATTTAAACATCACTAGAGATGGGGCAGATCTGAGATCCTGAGGTAGCTGATTCCATATGTGAGCAGCATAATAGCTAAAATCATCTTCACCCTGTTTGGTTCTGACCCGAGGTTCTACCAGCTGATTGTTACCTAAGAATCTCAGAGCCCTATTGGGTGTATATACAGGAATAAGATCTGAAATGTATTTTGGCCCCATGCCACTGAGTGATTTATAAACTGGTAAGAGCACTTGGTGGTTTACTGGTAACGAGTGTAGAGATCTAAGAACAGGAGTGATGTGCTCCATTCTCTTAGTTTTTGTTAGGACTCTAGCAGCAGCATAGTGAACAAGCTGCAGTTGCTTCACAGTTTTTTTAGGAAGACCAGTTAGGAGACCATTGCAGTAGTCCAACCAACTAGAGATAAAAGCATGAATTAAGTTTCTCTAATTCTGGTCCGGACATGACACCTCTGATTCTTGATGTTTGATGAAGGTGATAAAACTCTGATATAGTTATTGCCATAATATGTCCAGAGAAGCTCAGGTCGGAGTCAATGAAACACCTAGATTTCTAATCTGGTTTTATTTCTTTATTCCTTTGAAGTTCAGCTGAGCAATAACATCCATCCTAACCTTCGTATTGCCAAAGATAATAACTTCAGTCTTGTCTTTGTTTAACTGAAGGAATTTTGACTGCATCCATTCGTTTACTTGCTCTAGGCACTGACCAAGTGAGTCCAGTGGACAATAGTCACTAGGTGATAGGGCTAGGTAGATCTGGGTGTCATCAGCATAGCTGGGATAGGCAATGTTGTTATTAAGTATGACCTGACCCAGGGGGAGCATATATAGAGTAGTGGTCCTAGAATTGAGCCTTGGGCGACCTCACATGTCATGGTGATCCGCTTTGATTTGTGATTCCCAAATAGAGACAACATAGCCCCAGGCAAGGACTGTACCAGATGATCCCACCCAGTATAACTTATTTAATAGTTTATTAATGCTTAATAATGCACTAAGTAACATTAATAATGGGACCCTTATTTTAAAGTGTTATCAAATTGTATTATCCTGTATCCTCAGCCTCTTACCTTCTCACCTGTTTAACTCTTACCTCTGTTGACAGTCTTTGGTTTCTTTTAGGCTACAGGAGTGGTCTTAATGCTATACTCATATTTTTCCTAGGATTGCATGTTCTTGCATAGTTCCCTTTATAATTTAAATTTCACCACCAGACTCCAGTTTAAGCAGTCTATGGCCCTCAGTGTCAGACACAGCAGAACACCGTGTTTACAGAAATGTGTATGAACGTAACCCAGGTGATTGTGATCTTGCTGCTTCCCACCTTCTCCAGTGCAGAATCATGCTGCCAATCATACAACAATGACATAAAGATAGGATAAAATGCAACATGACCGTTTAGATTAAGGTTGCTTTGAAAAACACCAGCTATGTATCTGATTTAGGGCGACACATGAAAATGGTCTGGGGGTTATTTGAACACATTGGACTTTTGTTCCTCACACTGTCATCAAACATTTTTAATAATTGTAAATGCTGGCAGACACCTCTGTGGATCCTGTACTGCATATATGAAATGATCAGATCTGTTTTTTACTTTCAGTAACATAACCTTTTCAGACTATGGACGTATTATACATCAGACTCGTCAGCTACCTCCCTTCTCACTGAACATTTCACAATATGACAGATTTGAAATCTAGTGTGTGAGTTATTTTTTTCCTTTTGTTTGACTGGCCTGAATGAAAGGAGGTGTGTAATGTCAGTTACCTTGAATGATTTAGTTTTTCTTTTTAAATGAGGGGTTGGTATCTGTTGAGATGTTGATGTCAAACATCCCTATTAGAGATAATTCCAATTGATCCAATTTTTTTGTGAATGATCTAAGATCTACAGAACCAAGGTCCAAAATATCAGTTTACCTTTTCCTGAAAAAGAGACATTTTTATTGGTAGAAAACGGAGTTTTTGTTCTGTCAGAAGAGTCAACGAAGCAAATTCACTAAATTAGGTCAAATTAAGTACAGATGGGATTGTTTGTTGTCAGCTTTTCTCATTCATTAAATTTGTTGGATTTCACTTTCCTGCTAAAATGATTAAAATGTATTGATTTGTTTTGATTTAGGCCAAAATATAAGTTAATGAGAAATATTTCAACAGTTGCACCTGTTTTCCTCCAGAAACGTGAAGGGATTTTCTCCTAGATGTGTTTTTTCTCAAAATTTCTCACAACTGTGCATAATAGAAAAATGCTTAAAAGTTATGTATAAATGTTTTAATTTATTGTGGTTCACAGAAGTGATCTTTAAAAGTAAAAACTTTGTAGCTGCATTACAAGCAAGCTAACATGTTAAACGTTTAATTAGGCTGCATGGTGATGCAGTTTGTTGCACTGTTACCGAGACGGTTTCGGGTTTTAATCCAGGCTGCAGGCTTCCTGTTCTCCCCATGCATGTGTGGGTTTTCTTAAAGTACTTTGGATTCCTCACACAGCCCAAAAACCTTTATGGTAAATGGCCTGTATTTGATATAGTGCCATCTAGAGTCCTGGAACCCTTCAAGTGCTTTACAACACAATCAGTCATTCACACACACATTCACACCTTGGTGGTGATGAGCTATGATGTAGCCACAGCTGCCCTGGGGCATACTGACAGAGGCAAGTCTGCTGTACACAGGTGCCACCGGTCCCTCCAGCCGCCACCATCGGGCCAGCAATCCTCATACTAAGCAAGCATGCAACGACAGTGGAGAGGAAAACTCCCTTTTAACAGGAAGAAACCTGCAGAGGATACAGGCTCAGTATAAGCAGCCATCCTCCACGACTCACTGGGGATCGAGAGGACAGAGCACACACACACACACACACACACACACACACACACACACACACACACACACACACACACACACACACACACCAAGTAATGTTTCTATAGTTACATTGTGATTTCTTAGTAAATATTCTATTTGGTGAAAGATAAACTTTATTGTATTTATCCTAGTGAATCTATAATTAAACAGGTAAACTATTAGTAGCACATTCAATGTCAAGGAAAGTAAAGTGTTATTATCAGGAGAGGGAGAAGGATTAAATGGTTAGCAACAGTGTTCAAGACGATGGCCCCCTCCATGAGGGCACCACAGCTCAGCAGAACATCATTGTAGCTTCTTCTGGGGAGAAAAACACTTAGAGAAAGAATAAAGTTAACAGCTGAAGTTGCAGGAAATAATACAGTTGAAGAGCAGATTGTAGAAGAAAGTAGTAGAGTGTGGAAAGTGGTCAGTATGTCCTCCAGCAGTCTAAGCCTATAGCAGCATAACTACAGAAATAACTGGATAACCTAGCCTTTTAGATGGAGGCATGTTGGAGGCAGGGCAAGGGAGAGTCGTCTTTACCGACTATAAATGTCACCAGGTGTGAGTGTGAGCATGAAAGGTTAGTTCTTTGACTGTCCCCGTGTTGGACAGGAGACCTGTCCAGGAAGTCCCTCACCTCTTGCTTGGTGACTGCTGGAGATAATCACCAGCTCACCATGAACCTATGAGTATGGTTCAGTAAATGCTCAGCCACAGATTTTTTAAGAAAAATAAAATGTTGGTGTAAACAAATGTACACCTCTCATGCAGGATTTATCGTCATGCTTTCACGTTTTTGGAATCCTGCTGGCATGATTAAAATTTTTTATACATGCACTTGATGCCTGACAGAACTGCCAGAGTGTTTAAAATATATTGTCCAACACTAAAGGTGGTCCTTTATGTTTTGCCACATGTGATTAGTAATGCATCTCACGCTTTTGGCATTTGTACATGGAGGAGGCAGGCAGCACATCGCCCTGGAATATTTCACATCTTCTCATAATTCCTGTTTTATTTCCTTCAGATGTTGGGAGAGCCGTCCACGCCCCGCCGCATATCACAGAAAAAGTGGTGCAACTGTTTAGGCGTAAAAGTGAGTTTACCTTCTTGGCCACCATCCAGCAGAAGTCCTCCACGTCAGGAGTCATCTTCTCCATCCACGAGTCAGATCACAGGTAATCCATATTAATCCTCTGCATTTTCTCCTGCAGGCTTTGTTTCTGCATAACATTTATTCCATTATAACTACGTAGTCGGATTATTTCCAAGTTGAAGTTCTCACCTAGTTCCAGACAGCTGTTGGTAGTCAAATAAAATGAGCTGCATGATTATTAAAGGGGACAAAGAATGCAGTTGATCAGCAATCTAAAACACTGCTTTGAATCTAAAAAGCATAATTAATTATCGTTTGGCTTTCATCTGTTCCAGGAGCCCAGATACAGGCCATTCTAAACCCCCTAAATCAGCCTTGCCGTGAAAAGAGCTGTATACCCCTGCCACTTGGACAGGACATAGATAAGCTAATGAGCCGCTTACTGATTGGTTGGTTTAAACCAGAAGGCCTCTGACACTGGAGGCTGCAGACTGAAGGAGGAAGGGCTCCACATTGTGACGTTTTTATGAGAGGTTTTTCAGAAAAGCAGTTTTTCTCTGACATGTTTAAACTTTCTAATTTACATAAAAAGTAGGTCACACAAAACTTTGACTTTTTGTCATGCTACTTTTGAACCCGCCCCAAGCTGTCTTTACTCACAAACAACAAGAAAATGTTGCTTTAGATTATTTGTCCCCTTTAAAAGTGATGCTGATTGGCTGTAATAATGTACGTTTTTTTGCGTGCCCACGGCTGAAAAGATACCTCCATTAGTTTCTCTGACATGAGTGCCAGCTCTGACCTTCAGCTCTTGCTGGGTAGGTTCGCGGCCGAATGTGAAGCGGCTGGGATGAGGATCAGCACCTCCAAATCTGAGACCATGGTTCTCGACCGGAAAAGGGTGGCTTGCCACCTCCGGGTCGGGGGAGAGGTCCTACCTCAAGTGGAGGAGTTTTAAGTATCTCGGGGTCTTGTTCACGAGTGAGGGTAGGAGGGATCGGGAGATAGACAGGCGGATTGGTTCGGCGTCTGCAGTGTTGCGGACGCTGAGCCGATCTGTCGTGGGGAAGAGGGAGCTGAGCCAGAAAGCCAGGCTCTCGATTTACCGGTCGATCTACGTCCCAATCCTCACCTATGGTCATGAGCTTTGGGTAATGACCGAAAGAACGAGATCGCGGATACAAGCGGCCGAAATGAGTTTCCTCCGTAGGGTGGCCGGGCTCAGCCTTAGAGATAGGGTGAGGAGCTCGGACATTCGGGAGGGACTCGGAGTAGAACTGCTGCTCCTCCGGATCGAAAGGAGCCAGTTGAGGTGGTTTGGGCATCTGGTCAGGATGCCTCCTGGACGCCTCCCCGGGGAGGTGTTTCGGGCATGTCCTGCCGGCAGAAGGCCCCCTGGTCGACCCAGGACACGTTGGAGAGGTTACGTCTCCAATCTGGTCCGGGAACGCCTTGGGGTCCTGCCGGAGGAGCTGGTGGACAAGGCCGGGGAGAGGACGGCCTGGAGCTCCCTAGTTGGGATGCTGCCCCCGCGACCCGGACCCGGATAAGCGGAGGAAGACGACGACGACGACGACATGAGTGCCAATCACTTAACACAACTTAACAAAGATGGTTTAAACTAACATTGTTTTATTAAACATTTGGCAGTAAAGCGTGGCCTTAAAGTGACAACTACACATGCTTTTTGAGTTAAAAAAGATATATTTGTTTTCCCTTCTCGCCTGATTCAGAAGTTAAATTGCATTTGAGACAGAGGGCTGATAGTTACACGAGTGTTAGACAGCAGTGAGTGGGAGCAGTGAGCGCATTCTGGCCCCCTGAGAAACTCCACAACTGTGAATTGTTTTAAAGGGCAGGCTACATTGATTTTCCTCTGCCCTCTGAAGGTAAAAGCCTACAGTTCGCTGAAACATGCAGCTAAGTGAGCTTGTGAATGAGTATGTATGTTGTGTTTGCTGAGCACAAGATGAAATCAAAGTCGGGCACTATGGTCATCTGGAGGGAGAGATGGACTGAAGGGACAGTTGGTTTTCTAGGATGCCGTAAAAAGGCTACGGAAATGTAATCCGATAGATTCCGCTTGTTGGAGTCGTGCAAAATCCAACTGAAGTTATCAGAGCAAATTTATGTTGTAAAAAATGTGAACACAATTCCAGACTTCTGTTGCATACCTGAATGATGTCACATTGAGTAAAACTTAGTAAAAACAGACCACCCATAGTCTTACCAAAGAAAAGGATGGTGCAGTCTCACACAGAAAGGTGAACCATTGCAGGATCAACAGTAAAGAAAGCAATTAGCCTTTCAGACTAAACTGAATTAACAAACCAGTTTTATTTCAGCTGCTGGAAGCAAGATCAACCCCTTAAAAATACATGGTGGAGGCTTAGAGAAAGAAAATTGTTGAAATGCCTTTGTTTATTAATGAAAAAAACATCAGATGAAAGTAGTTGTTGTTATTTGGCTGCAACACAAAGCAGAAGTAATGACTAAATATAAAATCTAAACTAAACAAAATGCCTGAAGATTTTTCTGTAAATTAAAAAAAGCAATAAAACCCACAATTAAAGTTCAATGGAAAGATTGATTTTCATCAAACTGAAAACATTTCACAGTTAATGCTCAAACTGTTTAACAAAACCCAAAGAGAAGTAAAAACAGGCTCCCTTCTGAACACTCCTGTACTTTGGAGCAGAGATGCCTCATCCTCTGCCGTGTTTTTAAGGTAAACCTGAGAGTTAGCTTCCTGTTAGTCATTTTTTTTAATTAGCTCTCTCAGTCTCTCATGTTCTGTGTGATATAACCTGCAGGCATAATTGTTGCACAGTGGGTTGGTCAAACGACAGCCGGCGTAGGCTAAATAGAGCCACTTGACTGTGCTGCTCTCCACCTTCAGGCACAAAGACACGCACCATGTAACATACGTGTCTCAGGGGAGTGCTCGGACTAGGCAAATGTTATATCAGTGGTACTTAGCCACACGCTAATACAGCCAGATGACAAACAGGCTGACTTTAAAGGATTTTAAAACTATTTATTGTTGTTTTTTTCTTTCAATTTTGTCTTGAGAAAGAAACATCTAATATATCAGTTTATTTAGCTTGAGTAACAGTCTGATGCTTAAAATAAAACGTGATATAAAATGGCAGTCTTGCTGTTACTGACCATTGTAATCATGAAATGTGAGTTTTAAAGGGATACTTTGCAACTTTTTGATATTTTAAAATCATTTTCTTAAGCTAGTCTGTGCTAAAACTCCCCTTTACAGGGTTAATGAAAGGCCACCCGGCCCCATTGCCCCGTGGTCAGATTATCGCATTTGCAACTTCGCTCTGTTGGGAATTACAGAAAATCGAGCTGACATGCCTGGCACTGCAGTGTGGTTCCAGCATGTTTTCTGCATGAACACAGCTAATTTGTTTAATTTAGTTATGAATCACTCCTGTAGACACTAAGGAAGGCTGAGGAGACATTTCAGCTGTTAGATTAAGGTGTTAAAAAGACGAACACACAGCTTTCGGTTGTACAAACAGACACTAGGGAATACTAAAAACAAGCCAAATCAGCCATTTAAAATGTCTTACAAAGGATTTTGATCGACCAGTTTGATTATTTCTTACAATTATTTGTTATCAAATTTTCCATTTTCTATTAGTTTAAGCTTAACCCTCTCATGACCATAATCATAACAGGGCCGCCAGACATTTTTTTAATCTTATGGCTGTAAAATTTTAATAACAAGTGCAAAGTGTGTGTAACTCTTCTTTTTTCAGAACAACCTCAGCTTTCAGTGTATGGTTTGCATTTAGAATTTATTTCTATTAAAGCCTTTAAAAAATCAGCTTAAATGTGAAAAAAGCAAAAAACTGATTTGAATTTTTTACATTTATTACTGAACAGGAACTTCAAAATGACTTGGGCAAACAATTGGAATCAACAATTTAAACTTTGAACTGTAATGCATCTATTCTTAAAAAAAGTTTGAACCGTGGTATCTTTTTTTAGCAGTTTTAAGACCATTTATTTTTGTAAACTTTCAGACGTTTTTATTTCATGTGGTAGATCTTGAAGCAGTTTCTCTCCAGCTGCAGGCAGAGTCCCTGCAAATAATAAATATAATTTACCTATAATAATTTACTGCTGTACCAAAAACTTTTGTTTTAGCAAAAATAATTATTTACTGTAAAAAGATAAATAATGCTGGAAGGGTTGTTCAAATAAAAAAATAAAAAATAAAGACTGAACAAACATTCGTACCCTGGTTCACTGGAGATCTGTCATTCTTCATGGTCACTGTCTTCAGATATAAGCCTTCTGGGACACCCAATAGACCGTGTTGATTTTCTTTGAGGCGTTTCCATCATTTCATGCCGGCTTTTTATGCTAATTAGCTTCCCCGTTTCGTTATCCGTTTTCACCGTGGCGCTGTGCTCCGCTGTGCTCCGTTTCAATCAGGTTGTACAGCAGGATTTCCCCTCGTAGCGATATTGTCCATAACTCTGATTGCTTCATGCTATAGATCGTTGTAAAGCTGCTTTTAGTACTTTTAGGAACCGTTGGAATGTTTTAAATCTGATCAGCCATTCAAAAGATGTAAAACGGTGCATTTTGGATGACAAACTTAGCACGTCTGAATCTGTGTTTTGATTCGTTGCACTCAAGACAGGGAATCCTGGTGGCTACCGTAATGTATTGTATATGCACGAAAAGCCACATTTTTAATCTTTTCAGCACTTTTGGAATTTTACAGACATCTTGAACGGTTCCGGAATTATGGTAATGAGAAATGCGCATGTCAAATCCTGTTGGCGGTGGCAGATTGGTAATAAGAGGGTTAATACAAGACTACAACGTTGCTACAATTTGAGTTTACAATGGATTTTCAAACAGCAAAGTTCAGAAATAATTTTATGTTTACTAACTCAAAAGACAAAATCAGAGAAATTTTAATTAAGCAATCATAATTTCAGCTTTATGTTCTTCAGACAATTTGCAGTGTTGATCTCTTCCTGAGAAGAGTCAAACACAACATCAACTATTTAAAACCAATTAAGAAACAGGACAAGCTCACAATTAAAT